ACACACACACACACACACACACACACACACACACACACCCTAGCATTAGCACATACACACACACGCACCCCACACACAAATACAAACAAACAAACACACACACATACACACCACCACCAGACGCACCCAAACACCAAACATAACAACACAAGCTAAATATTCTGTCACAAAATCTTCTCCAAATAATTTCTTGTATTGAGAACATAAACTCTCCCCAACTCACGGGTTTAGGAAACTCCTTAGGGTAGACCCCATCATATCGAATGACCATCCACATGCTTGTTGGTTCTTTGCCTTCAACAATGATATCGTAGTCATGAGATCTGGAAACAAAATTAAAATACAATTACATTGCATCTTATTTGGGGGGGAAATTCCTTAAACAAAAAAGTGGCGTCGGTGGTCTAGTGGTTAGGCTCTCGGACTCGCAACTGTAAGGTCGTGGGGTCGAATCCCGTCAGGGACCCGACGTTGTGTCTTTGAGAAAGGCGCTTTACACCAATTTTCATCACTTCACCCAGGTGGACAGCGAAAGATCTTGTCAGTTTGTTAGTGTTTGAGCGCTTAATCAGCTGCTTGCACTGTATGCTTCCTGGGAAGCTGAGAATGTTTCGGAGTGTCTGCTGGGATAATAATATAGTGTAAAGCGCATAGAGCCTGCTGCTGAGCAGGGATATATGCTGTACAAATGCTATTTATTATTATTATTATTATTATTACAAACTTAAGTACATTGTATAATAATACGGGAAGACTGAGAGACATAGTAAAATAGCAAATATTATTACCTTCGAAATAAGAAGTAGGAACATCATAATTTGTTTTTGTTTGGTTTTTTTAGAGATATGCTTTAAAGAGACAAATATTTTCAGTAGAAAGTATCGTAACTTTTGAAGTTAAGAATCAGTCAGCCGTAAATTAGAGTATCATTTCTGATAGTCCGCAAGTTGTTGAAATAATTGATTTTTTAAAAAGAATTAACTATCAAGCAGTATTTTGAGACAGCAGTCAAGCTAATAATTACGCAGAGAAAAACGGAGCACACGAATGAGTCAGAGAAAAAATGAAGGAGAGGGGTGGGGTGGGCTGGAGTGGGTGTGGGCGTGGTGTATGTGTTTAATTAATTTACCTGCATGTGAGCCGGGTGATTGGTGGATGTTATTACCTGCGTGTGTACGTGTGCATGGGTGTGTGCGAGTGTGCGTGTTTGCTTGTATGTGTGCGAGTGTGCGTGTTTGCTTGTATGTGTGCGAGTGTGCGTGTTTGCTTGTGTGTGTTTGTGTATGTATGTATGTACGTGTGTATGTATGTATGTATGTATGTATGTATGTATGTATGTATGTATGTATGTATGT